TGGTTATGTATTCACACTCGGGGGTGGTGCGATTACATGGAAATCAGTTAGGCAAACAATTATTGCAAGATCAACAATAGAATCTAAATTTGTTGCTCTCGAAATGGCTGGTAGTGAAGTTGAGTGGTTGAAAAACTTCTTAGCAAACATTCCATTAGGAATGAAACCGATCCCGTCTATATCAATTCACTGTGATTATCAATCGACAATAGCTATAGCTAAAAATAAGAACTACAGTGAAAAAATAGACATATATAATTGAGACATAATTTAGTGAAGCAACTGCTAAAGAATGAAACAATTTTCATTGATTATGTGAAGTCAGAACAGAATCTAGCAGATCCTCTGACAAAACCCTTAGCGACAAATATGATTTTAAAAACATCGAAAGGAATGAGACTTAAACAACTTGCAAACAAACAGATGATGGTAACCCAACCTTTGTGATTGGAGATCCCATGAATAAGGTTCATATGGGTAAAAACAAGTCACTTGTTAGTTCTGCTAGCACTAAAATTGATTAAAATCAATTATGTCCATTTCTATGGTGTATATGTGAAAGTGCTAGATACTGTATCATTGAGAGGTTAAACTTTGTAATTAAAATTCTATCTGGTGTACGAATTTTAGTCTAAACAAAGTTTATAAAGATTTCATATCCCTTACGGGTGGTGTATGATTTGCAGCATACGCTTGATGAAGTCACCTATATGAGTATTGAGTGGGGCCGCTTGTATGAGATCTTTGCAAGATTTCTAGAGCACTCATGAATACCGAACGGATGGCCTAGTAAGCGCAACACATCGATAACAACAAAAATTATGGGTGTGTATTGTGATTGTTAAACCGCTAACACACACTAAGTATTTTGGTTCATATAGTTTGCTACACCAACTAAAATGTGTGTGTTAAGTTTTTCAGTCTAAGACTGATTCATAGAGCTTGTTACACCAGCTCTAATGCCTTACATATATATGAGACCCAAAATTTTCTTCTTTTATTCCTTATCTCTTTTATTTTGCAATATGTGAGAGATTGTTGTAAAATAAGGAGTATTGCAAAAAAGTTAGAACGTTACAGAGAACTTCACTGAGAACGTTACAGAAAACGTAGGTAGTTAGAATTTTGGGTTCAATCTACACCTATAAATAGATACTATTTCACACCCTTCCATACGCACCTCTCTTATTTTTTCTTCTCTTATCTGTTTTATTCATATTCTACTATTATCCTGAGTTTATTTCATCCTTTAAGAGTTTTTTTCTAGTTTCTGAGATCCTCAGAAATTTCAAGAAATTCTTGTTGTATCCTAAAGGACTTATGCAATATATTACGGATAAGTATAAGGACAGTGTTTATATACGACTTAAGAATAAAGTTTATTTATATTTCTATCGGCTTTTACAACAATTAATATAAATGAATTTTTTTTACACAAATTTATACGTAGAAGAACAAAGAAAAATATTACCCAATCTGTGATAATGTAAAGGCAATAACTTATGAATGTCAATGGCATATCTTAAAGCCTATAAGTGACCAGTTCAACGGTTGAATCCACTACACGAAGCATCGAAGAAGGAGGTAAGAAACACGATGAAGACCCATCCCTTTCACCTTTTTCTTTCTTCATTGGATTTTGTCATTACGTGTCGTAGGTGTAATTAAAGGTGAATCAAACTCGAAAATTAGACATGTGGAGGCACCAACAAATGTCCTCATCCAAGTGTCTAAACTATAATTAGGGCAACCAAGAGACAAAACGGGATTTGAGTCAAACGCAGTCGTTTGTTGCAATCAAAACCAACGGCTTCGCAAAGTTAAAAGTTTCGAACTACCGTCAAACACCGTTGAGTTCACGACACGTTGCGGAACCAAAATTATCCTCGTTAAACCGTGTTGTACGACTTTGTCACCACCCACTGGGCACGCTCCACGTGTCCCCAATTATCACCGACATGACCTGCCGTCAAAAGGTGACTAACCCCACTTTTTCTCTTTTGACGAAGCGACAATTCAGGCCTCTCTGGGAGATTAATGTTTCAGGAACAATGAAAAAGATACGTGAATCAAATCCAAACCATGTTATTATGTTGGTGCATTTTAATCTGATTTAGTATTTTTGTTTTGTTTTGTATTCTGCTAATTTGGATTTATTACCTTCCAAACTTGACTTGTTCCACACACAAAGACATTCATTCCGCATGCTTAACCACTGTGGAAAAATAAAAGACACGACACATTCCAATTATAAATCTTTCTTGATGTTAAACAAATCAATTTATTTCTGGACTTGACATTTGTTACTTCGTTGTTATTATGAATTGGAAGTGGTATCTTGATAAAGTTTTATAGACGTTGACACACTCCTTGTTTCATATCCACCTGCGCCACCAACATTGCTTTCTGAAAGTTACTCTTAATGCCATCTCATGTCATAACATGCTTGACACAATATTTTACAGGTGCAATGTAACTTAATCATCTCTCTTCTATACGTTTTATTCTTAATTTGTTAGGCACTTAATTAGTCAAAATTGTAATTATTTAATCAAAAGTTTATCATATTTTGCACTCTAATCATTCTTTTTCTACCATTTTTCAATGATTTTTTTCATCAAATTTTTACCAAAGAAAAATATAAAATAAAATTAACTCTTCATGAATTAAAATTAAGTTATTTCTTTTAAAATTTTATTTTCTTTTCTTTTTTCACCCTTTAAATATATCTATTTTTTATTTCTTTTTCATATTTTTACTATTTTTTAAATATATATATATATATATATATTATAACTTTTTTTTTAATTATAACACTTTTATCGAACAATGATAATGAGTAATCTATACTACATAAAAATGTGGGTACATGAGATAAAATAAATAAAATAAAATTTAAAAATTTATACTAAAATAATTCCTATGTAATAAATTTTTTGTCATTTGAAAAAAAAAAGAAAAAGAAATGTCATGTATAATGAGTGAAGAAACGACGTGGAATACATCTAAAAAAACAAAATAAACTTAAAAATATTAATTATACAAATATTTTGTTTCCCTCGTCTTTTTCCTCGATTAAAAAAAATAATTAAATTATAAAATGTAATTTTTTTCTAATTTCTTGTGACTCATTCTTTTCCATTTGTCTCTCTTATTGAAATTCTGTCTCAAGCTTATTTGTCTCCAATAATTTATAATTTTAATAATAAATACATTTATATATACATTAAATTTTGATAAATAAAAAATAAAATTGTGAACGTGAAGACTCATGTACATCTATGTTTATGCTAATAATATATAAAAGAGATAAGAGTTAACGTTATTGTTAAAATAATTATAGTCATTTCTAATCTCATTATTTATTTTTTAATTTAATAATTATTAAAGAAAATTTTATTTAAGTAATTAAATTAAGAGATATTAAGAATAAACATGGAAAGTAATTATATTTAAAAAAATTTAGAATTAATTATTTTTATCATGTCATTAATACTTAAAAACTAATTATGTTCATAGTAATATGATTGGTAGTTTAATAGATTGTTCACTGTAGATTAAAAATGAATTCTTCTTTACATAAATTAGGTGAGAGAATGACGGGTGTTTAACGGATGTATCAATTCATTAAATTTATAGAATTAATTCGATCTCATATATATATATATATATATATATATATATAAAGAATAAAATAGAAGAGACTTAAATGTAAGGTTAAATGATTGTCTCGTTGTCCTATTTTTAAATACTATCCCATTTTTACCCCTTAGAAATACCTAACATAAGTAATATATATGATTGTGATATTGTGGTAGTGTGATAATGTATCTATAAGAAATATTTGGTGGCTCACTTTTCTTTCATGATAACTGACCTAATATATTAGTTTACTTTTTATGTAGTAAACAATATTATTTAGAGTAAAAGGCATATAAGTCACTTAAAACCATGACACCAAAATTTTTTTTTTTTTTCTACTTCTTTATTGCCTAAGAGAGGAAAAATAGTTTATCTTGTGTTCCTAGTAGTTGTGTTTCCTACTTCTTCTTCTTTTTTTCTTGAAAGTGTGTTATTATTTTCTACTTGGATTTAAAAAAAAAATATTATAGTTTCTTTTCATTAATAAAATTATATTATTTACTTATTGTCAATTTTGATAATCTTTTATCATTTTTATTTTAGTTGAGTTCCTATACATTTTTACTTTGATATATATATATATATATATATATATATATATATATATATATATATATATATATATATTATTCTGTCTAGGAACAAAAATATTTTAATGTTGTGTCTAAGAATGAGAATATTATTTGTTATGGTCAATTTCCATGTTCGAGATATTATTTGTTTTAGAACTTTCATCCGTCACGATTTTGTCTTTAAAAGACGTCTCAATGGATTTAAGAGAAGAAAGTGTATATAAACTATCATTGACCTCAACTTCTGAGCGATATAGGACTATCAATTTTTTATATATAATAAGAGAAAGAAAAATAACATACAATATTTTTAATGTGAAAAAACGTACGTATCTATGGAAAAATTGTGGGACCAAGCCCATACAAAAAATTCACTATTAATAATAGGATTACAAAATGATCTTCTTCTCAAGATAAAAGACACTGACTCACCCTTTTAGGATTACTTGCATCAATCTCATAAAAATAAGAAAATCTTTTTGTTTTCTTAGTTAATTGAATCTTAACTTATTATAGAACAAATAATGACAAAAATCAATGACTGGAAAATGTAGTTATTATAAATAACTAAATCAATGACCAATTTTTTTTTCTAATCTAGTAATTGGTATAGTAACCGATTTCGGTTACATCAGTTACTCAATCAATTACTTTTTTTTTTATTAATTTAATTAATATAAAAATTAAGATTTAATTCATTTTTTTCCTCCTAAATTTTCAAAGGAAATTTCATCTTCCCGCGTGTGCCTCCTTGAGGCCAAGATAACCCTAAACCTTTCCCCACTCTTACGAGTGCCATCTAGGCTCCTCAAGCCCAAATCTTGCTAGCGCTAGTTTCTTAAACCCGCTAGTGCCATTGAAGCTCCTCGAGCCCAGACCTTGGTATCTTCATCCAAAGTACGCTACTGCCGTTGAAGTGGTGAGCCACCATCAAGAGAGCTTAAACACCTTCCTTCACCTTATCGAGCACAAATCCTTACCCCAAGCCTTACTAGCTTGAAGCCTAATCCCACCCTTCTCGAGCTCGAACATAGCCTCAACCCTTAAGAACGCAAACCCTAACCCACACATCTAAACGGAACCTCTCTGTTAGTTCAATAAGTCATGGGCTCCTTTCTTCTTTCTTCCTTCTATTTCTTTTTTATACAATTTGGGTTAATGACTTTGGACTATTTCTTATTGGTACTAGAAGGGATTTTTAGCAAGCTTGAGTCACAGGGAGCATTTCCGAGGAGATATTGGATTGAATAAGCAGGAGTAATAGGTAATAAATAGTGCATTATTTCTAAAAATATTATGAACCCTAATAGATCTTATTGCTTCGGTTATTCTTGCATTGAAAAGAGCGATGAATTCTAACATATTTTACAAGAAACTAAGAAAGGAAATATTTGTGTGTCGTGTTGGCCATTTCTATTGCTCTTATGCTTAAAATAAGTGATTAATATAAATTGTTTTTAGTGAAATAATGAACAATGTTGGATTTTTAAGGAAAAGTGGGCATAGAAGGAATAAGAATGACTTAGGAGAAAATAAGTATGAATAATATCATAATCATTATGGGTACACACATGAATGTATGAATGTAGATTAGTTGATGTTAATCTTAATGACTTTTATATGTTTTCCTCAAGTGATTTCTGTTAGACAAATAACATTTAGAGAGGTGAATAGATGCACAAATTAAATTAGATGCTAAATTAAAAATTTATTTATTTAAGATATCCAATAATTTGTTAATTTAATTTTAATTATAAGATAAAATATAGATAAAGCGATATAATCAGAGAGACAAATGAAAAGATTCAAGTGTGCAGATGTAGGAAGCGATAAAATAGGAATAGGGAAGAGAAGAACACACAATAATTTATAGTGGTTCAGTATAGTCAACCCTACATCCAGTTCCTAGTCACCTCTAATACAAGAGTGACCCCAATTCACTATCTTTTAAATTCGGTTTACAAATTACAATCAACTCAACAGTGGAAAAAGAGTAAACTAATTAAAAAGACAATTAGCTCCTTAGAATCCAACTAAGGATGAACACCTCTCTGAACAAATCAAAGGGATAAAAAACACTTAATTTGCAACCAACTCACAAAGGATGAACACCTCCCTAGAATCACACTAGGGATGAACACCTCCTCTGAACAAATCAAAGGATGAAAACACTTCCTTAGAATCCCACTAAGGATGAATACTTCCCTAGAATTACACTAGGGATGAACACCTCCTCTGAACAAATCAAAGGATGAAAATACCTCCTTAGAATCCCACTAAGAATGAACACCTCCCCGAATAAATCAAAGGAATGAAAACACATCCTTAGAATCTCACTAAGGATGAACACCTTACTTGAACAAATCAAGGGATGAACAATTCCTAATAGTAGAAACTCCAAACACAAGTACACTGATCAAAAGACACAATAAAAAAAATAAGAATAGTCACACCTGGTAAGGAGACAACAAATTGTAAAAACATGTAGAATGTCAACCTCCAAGAACATATGTGATTAACAATGAAAGCACAAAAGACAATAAGAAAAAGGGTTCTCTCAAAAAATGCAAAATATCTCTGTTGCCTTGTTCAGAATTATTTTCTTAAAATTGAATGTCTGTAAACTGTATTTTCGAATTCTATAATTGTGTATTTTTTATTTTTCATCAAAATTCATTTAAATAGGAAAAATAACATCAGAAAATAGTCGTTGGTAATTAATAATTTCATAGAGAAAAATCAGGATGTATCCAAAAACATTTATTATTTAAAAACATATATATTTTTCAAATTTAAACTGCTATAATCGATTATGTTACCAGTATAATAGATTATGACAGAGAAAAATGTCATATTATGTTTATTTTATGATATAATCGATTATGACTCTCACATCATCGATTATGACAGTGAAAAATGTCATATTACGAAATTTTATTACACTAGTACTTTGGAGGCTTATGCATAATACTATTTCATCAACTTGTTCCTTTATATCCCGTGTTTTAAGACTCTATCTAGTCTTCATGCTTCATCTTGGGCTTGCTTGAGTCATCATCTTCTTCAAAATGTATATCTAGTATTCAGGCTTCATTTTGGGTTTGTTTGAGTCTTGAATGATGTTGACTTGAATCTTTACCAAAATCATCTTCTTCAGAATGTAGGGAAATGTTTCATATTGTTATCAATCTTCTCATAGTGCTTTCAATCTCCATGCTTTCAATTTCTACTAGAATCATTAAACTCTTATGTCATGTAAGATAGTTTATTTATTGAATATAAAAAAGTTTTACATATCTCTCGTGTGGATGTGGCACTAGCAAAGTGTTATCCTACACATACAAATTTATGAATTAGAGATGGTTGCAATCACCATGAGCAAGCTACAGAGTTAACTTTCAACTTTTATGCATAGACAACTTTGCCATCTCACCTCATATTTCTTGAGGTAGACCTGTATATATTGTATAATTTAATTTCTATTTCGAATAACATGTCTCTCTGATGTCTAACATCTTTTAACGTTCTTTTGAAACTTGATATTAAGAAAATGAATGAAAAAACTTTTTTTGTTAAAAATTTGATTCTTGTCTAAAAGTAAGAATCAATTTTCTAATGTTGTGTTTAAGAAGTAGTATTGAAATAGTCAATGAAAATTTCCAGGGTTTTATCATTGTCTCTATAGCTTTTATTGTTTTGTTATTTTTATCCTCATGTTAGCAGATAGGGCCAAATTTGTACGCATTCTTGTGTTTTCTTATCTAATATCTTGATACATTAATTTACTAGAATATTCAAAGAAATTCAATTCATATTTATTGGACATCGCAATGACCACTTTAAGCTCCGAGAATCTCTCACGGGACAATGAGCATTTTGCAAAATTAGTTATAGATGTTATAATGAAACTAAAGGGGTAAATTGTGTCTATCCTACCAAGTAGCAGTTTTCAAATTTAGTGGATATAGTAAATATCATTGTGTTCTAGAAATATTGGTAATCTTTGAATGGCTTAATATCATGTTGTATATTAGGCTATCAATTAAAGCAACTAGGACCTAAAATTTTTAATGCATAGGAACTGTAAAATAGACCAAATTTTGGAACTTCATGGGAGTTTTTATGATAAATGAAATTTGCGACCACTTAATCTCAAAGTAATTACTCCAATGAAAATCATTAGTTAATAAATTGGTAGAGTGGTTTATAGCTAGCTTAATGATGACAAGGTGTCCGATAGATTGTTTAGTATAGGAAGTAAAACATGTTGTGTTGGGTATTGTGTTATGTTATGTTGACCTCTCCTAAAGATACTTAGGGATGGCAAAACGGGTCAGTCCGACCCGTTTTGGCCCACTTTGCCTTTTGCCCATCAAAAACGGGGTGAGGTGGGGCGGAGCGGGCTGACCCGCCATAATGAAAAAAATAATTTATTTTTTAAAATAAAAAATTTCAATAAATTTAATAATAAGATTATTATTTGTTTGTTAATAATTTAATATATATATATATATATATATATATATTATTTTAATTTAATAATATAAATCAATACATTGTTTTAAAAAATTATAATTTAGAACAATAATAAAATTTACATAATAATAAATAATAACAAATATATATATATATATATATATATATATATATATAACATTAAAACTTATAAAATTTATATTTTTTATATTGAAAAATTTAAATACCTATATCTTTTTTATTTGATAAAACTTCACATTATTCATGTTTTAGTAATTTTACACCTTTAATTCAAGTCATAAGGATAAAAATAATCGGTGTTTAGGAGAGAACAAGGAGAACAGGAGAGAGAAGATTATGTTTCAATAAGGAGAATATTTCTCTGTGAAAGTGAAACTTTTTTAATTCTCTTTTTAAAAATTTTAACTTTATATATTATCTTTATAATTAACTTTATTACAATAAAAAATTATTTTTTTATTAATTAGGTGGGCAGTGGGCTGGCCGCTCTGCCTGCGGGTTGGCCTAACGGGTTGGCGGGCCAAAGCGAGCTGAAAACATCAACCCGCCCTGTCATATTATAACGGGCTGGCGGGTTGACCCGTTTTGCCATCCCTAAATATACTCATTTTGCCTCTTACACACCCTCCCCTTACACTCTCATAGCTCCTATTCCTATGCCTTCACAACACATATCCCCAAGCACCCCCAAGCCCCAAGCACCCCCAAGCACCCCCAACCCTTTATTAGCAGACCCCATGATATTGTCTCCTCTAATCTGGTATGCACTCCCTCTCTTTCACTCTCTGCTCTGTTTTGTATTAGTCCATTATTGAGTCCGCATCTACATTGTGTAGGTATAAACATCTATCCTCTCCTCTAGCATGAGTTTATGTTTTTTACAAAATATAAAGTGCCTCAAGTATTTTTAATCTATTAAAAATCATTTTAATAGATTAATATGTTCTTTGATCGCAGTTTTAATTGATATATTTTTGAAATAATGAATTAAAAACACTTAAGAAACTTAAAAATACTTTTTGTCGCAATTTTAATTGATACATTTTCGAAATACTTGATTAAAATCACTTAAACAACTTGAAAACACTTTCTCTGCAGTTTTAATTGATATATCTTTGAAATAATTGATTAAATTCACTTAAGAAGTTTTAGAAAACCTTCTATCAGAATTTTAACTGATATATCTTCTAAATAATCGATTAAATTTACTCAAGAAGTTTTAGAAAACCTTCCCTCAGAATTTTAACCGATATATTTTCGAAATAATCGATTAAATTCACTTAAGAAGTTTTAGAAAACTTTCTACCGGAATTTTAATCGATATAACTTTGAAATAATCTATTAAAATCACTTAAACAATTTTTGTATCATAATTTTAATTGATTAAAACTCATTTTCATTAGTTAAAATGCCTTTGAAAAAAAATTCATAATTGTTTTAATTGATTGAATGACGTTTTTATCGGTTAAAACGTCTTGAAAAAATTGGCAGGATCTTCTTAATTGAATAAAAAATATTTCCATCAATTAAATTCATTTAAGCTAAGTTGTTTTAATCTATTAAAGTGTGAATTA